CCAGGGCAGCGGGACACGGCTGGGAGGGGGCAGGGAGAGGAGCTCCCAGCACCTTTGCCCGTTTACATTTCCCTCTCCTTGCCATGGAATCTGCTGGAGCATCTCTTTTCTCTGCTTCCATTCTATGCTTACCTGGCAGGATGTTACCTTCCTTACCTTGGAAATCATCCTCCTGATCTCCCAGGGCGAGTCCCCTTTCAGCCACCACTTTCAGCCCGCTCTGATACACACCAAGATTCCATTTTTGCTCTGGCCTGGATTATGTTTTCCAGGCCAATATATTATGCCACTTTCACACTCCCCTCCCTGCCCCATCTGACTTCCATCCTGCCCCCATAAAGATTATTAATATCGCCTGTTTCCAAGCGATTTATTATCAGGGGCCAAACTGGTGCCATTTTCCATTTTAGTAGAGCACTGAAAATAATCCTGAGGAGTGTGCCCAGCTATAAAAACGTACTTATACTGTCATATTTGCAGTTTCAAACATGCACCACTTGATAGTCTCAAAAGTGCTGTTTAATTGGGTTTTATGGGTTCTAATTAATTATACTAGGTAAAAAAATTACTTGTCCCATTACAGCTCTCTGTGGTTTACTCTGAAGAGCAATGTAATTTAGAGATAAATTGTCCTTCTCTATCCCCCTGTTCCCCTTTTCCCAGCAAGTTCCAGAATGCTTTAATTCTCCTTAAACACAGGAACGAAAAGATACGTTTTGTTCAGGGGACACAGCTTCTCCCAATACCCATAAACAGCTTTATATGTGACTTGAAATGATTCCACGTTCCTTCTGCTGAATCAGGCTGGTGAAATTATGAATAATCCTGTGACTTTGCTCAGCTCAGGTCTGGGGGGTTGGGATTTTGCAAAGTCTTGAATATATTGGCAGTTTTGTACACTGTGGATTATTTCCTCCAATTATACAGAGGTAACAGTGAAGGAAGCTGAGCATGGGTGCAGGATTTTTTGGCTGGATGAAGGTCTAGATTGAGATGTCTTTCCATGACCCTTTAGGAAAACAGGGTGTGAAAGGATCTGTCTGCTTTTATGGCATTTTGATGTGACTAGCAGCAGAGGGAACCTCTCATGTTAACTTTCTATTCTGTCTTGCAGAATCATGAAGCCTGCATTATTCAAACAAATTCTGGGGCAGTCTTCTGACTTTTAAATACTTCCTCGAACGACTTGGTGAAAAACGAGGAGCCAAGCAGGTACACTCATGGTTTTTTAAAGTATACTATTAAATTACATCCCTCACTGTAATAAATTCGGTCTCATGAGGCAAAACATGAAATATAGGAGAGCTGAAGTAGAAAACATTGTATCCTATGACAAGAGGGAATGGCTTTAAATTGAAAGAGAATAGATTTAGGTTGAGATATTAGGAAGAAATTCTCCCCTGTGAGGGTGGCAGGCCCTGGCACAGGGTGCCCAGAGAAGCTGTGGCTGCCCCATCCCTGGAAGTGTCCAAGGCCAGGTTGGACAGGGCTTGGAGCAGCCTGGGCTGGTGGAAGGTGTCCCTGCCCATGGCAGGGGGTGGAACAAGATGATCTTTAGAGTCCCTTCTAACCCAACCCCTTCCGTGATTCTATGACTTTTTCTGGAAATTAGGGAGTTAAGAGTATTAATTAATGAAAAAAGACACAGCAAAGAAACCTCTTTCATTTGCCTTTTGAAAGCAAGTGCTACTTATTTTAGAAATTTCACTTCACTTGAAAAATGTAAAGCTTCTGTGTGTGGCAGACACCTCCTAAACTGCACCCCAGCCCTGGGAAGGAAACTTAGTGACCTGCCCATGTCTATTATTATTAGCTGTTACTATTAGCACTAAAAGGTTAAAGTTCTTTATGTGAGTACCCAGACGAATGTTCACTGGACCAAAAAGTTTGTAAGTCATGCTTCACTAATTTGCTTATTTTATAAAATTAATAATCAGCATGTCAGTTGCTGGAAACTTGGACCATCCTGGGTGTCCAGATCATGTGCTGGAGCAGGAGCAGTGAGGGCTGCCAAGTAAAGAAAAAAAGGAAAAAAGAATCACCACAGTCACACACATTACTCATCAATCTGAAAAGTAACAAGAATAATACAAAGAACTGTTTTTATTAATGTAATCCTCTTGTGTAGTAATATCAGTTAAAAGAAATTTTACTATGTATATCTGGTTGGTTATGTTAACAATAACTAAAATCTGCAACATTTTAAGGAATGAGTTAACAAAACAGAGCCCAAACCTGAATAAACCTGAAAATTTCTGGGCAGTGTTTGGGTAAGTAAGTCCAAACAAATCTGAATATCTCAGTATTTGTACAGTGTTTATGTTTGCTTTTACATGGCTTTTACTGCCTCAGAAAGCCATTTATGGAAAGGAGACAATGTGAAACCTGCTCTTCTCATGCGATTTTCCTCATCCAGAGATTTAAATGAGTAGAATCTGCTCTTTTCATGCTATTCTGTCCCCATAAATCACTCCTGGAGGCATTAAAAGGGCTTGTGAAAAACACCAATAAATACACCCAAAGCAGAAATACAAATGTTGCAAACGGCTCGAGGCTGCTGTGGCAGCAGCTCTGCTGTTAATTTATTGAGGAAAACTGATGAGGGACCTCCACGCCTGTGTCAGCTCTGCTCTGTGTGGAGCTCATTTTACACTGCTGAAATTCAGCTGAAATCAGTGCTGAAAATCCCGGGTTTATGGGCCAACTTTTATAACAGTGTCATGAGCATCCTGCTCAGGAGCTGACTGAGTTACTGTGATTATTCCAGAGGAGCAGAGGATTAAGGGAAATGAAGGGAGAAAGGCAATACCAGCTGGAAAAGGATCTCTATCCCAGGTCACCTGCAGCAGCTCCAATGATCTATACAACATATATTGTATATATCATTTATAAAAATATATATATGACAAATAACAAAATATTAGTCAGTGAAAAGGCCAGATTGTCCAGCTTTTCCATGGCATTTAATTAGCCTGAACCCTGGTTTCACCTCTTAGAATTCCCTCTATGTTCTCACATGTGTGGGAGCTGCAGGTGGGCTGGCTCTGCCCGAGTGGGAAACCTGGAGCTGCTGCTCCTTCTTCCACAGGTTACTGGTGGGTCCTGTAGATTAAAAAAGTTCAGATGGGGGTCTTTTTTCATGAGTGTCTGAAATGAGACAGGCCTGTGGCTGAGGGAAGGGCAGAGCTCCGGCAGAAAAGCACCTGGAAAATGAGGATACATTCCTGAGTATCACTGCACTGAAAATAACACATACCACGTTTAATAAGTTTTTTCTAACAAAATTTAGATGCTACTGCAGTGGTATTTTAAAAATAGCTGGTGATGTATCTGTAATTGGTATTGCTTGAAACTTTCCAGGCTTCTTTATTTCCTTGTAACTCTGTCAAGCTCCAAACATTCATACTGAAATTCCCGGTGCTGGTATCAGCTCTGATTGATTTATTTAGAAAAATTTAAACCCAACACAAATAAAATTTTAGGGGAATTTCAAAGTTTGAGGCAAGGGATGCTATAGGTGTTCTCTCGATTCAGAATGAAATGAAATTATGAAATAACTGAATTTCCCAAATACTGGAAATTTTGGAGTCCTGCTTCTACATATTCCTTCAGCAGTGAACATTATGAAATACAAATGGTTTAGATTTACCCAGGCACGTACATCCCGATTTTTTGAAACAGAAAGACGCAGTCAAAATGCTGAACTGAAACCTACTGGGCAGATTCTGAAAACTTTAATCATTTGGGCTTAGCATACCATGCCAGATACCTTTTCCAGGTTTTGGAAAAATTCATCTGAATTCAGGAACAAGAATATAAATATACATAAGTTTATATGATTCCATTTATATAATAACATTCCTATCCTATATATTGTATATATCATTTATAAAAATATATATAAGCATTTATATTTTAATTAAAAATTACATTTGTATAAAAATTTACATTTTTATATATACATATGTATAATGGAGACAGTGTTCTCCTTGAAAAGCTTATTATTTAGAAAAGGGTGTTGGGAATTCATGAAATTAGGGTTTCCTGCAAAGCGTTTATTTGTCTTCCTTTTGTACCTGTGTTTGGTCTAGTCTTTAATTACATGACCATGTGTTATATTTAGATTTAGCAGAAGACCCTGGTCTCATTCCTTTCAGAAGGTGGAGCAGCTCAGTGGATGAGTCAAAGCTGGGTAGAGGAGGAGTCTGGTTTCTGGTGGACTTTGCCTGGATTTGCTGTGGAAACAGGGAAAGTGCAGTAAAAGGGAGAGAATTGAAAAGAAAATTAGCTTTGGCTCATGGCTAAGGCACCTGAATCCTGTAGAGCTCTCATCAGGTCTCAGAGAAGTCAATTTAAATTCTTCCCAACTGGCTGTATTTTGATTTTGTTTTCTGTGTTCCCGTTTGCAGAGTACACTGTCAGTGCTATTTCTCCTGACATGTGATGTTGCACAACATTAAAAATTCTGAGAAATCAAGTCCCAGACATCTCAGTTTGGGTACCCAAGGAAAGCAGAATGTTTTGACCTGAATCTCTTTGTGTTTCAGTTTCCCATCTGTTAAACAAGAATAATAATATCCTCTCATTTTCCAGGGTGTTGTTAGAAGAAATGAGCATTGTGAAGCACTCAGATGCATTCATGCCATCCTGATAAGAACCTTAGAAAAGCTCACAAGAAAATCAGCAACTGTGTCTTCCAAGCAGGTTTGGGATGTTATGTGGTAAATAAGATCTCGAGCCACATGCTGAAAAATGACACTGGAACAAACTATTGAATATCTGCTTATTAAGTGAACACTGTCCATCCTGAGGTAGAATCTGGTGGAAAACAAGACATAATCCAATATTTAGAGGATGAATCATAATGCAGATGAATAAGGGTTTATGGTTAACTTTAGTTCTGATGTTTGATCACTTGGTCTTGCAGATATAAGTAGTGCGTGTGCAAAAGGATACCTGTGCCTAAAAAGAAGCAAAATCTGAATTCCAGAATGCTTGTTGTTCAATGAAATGTGCAGGACCTTAAATCTTGGCTCTGCAGAAGAGATGCTTCTTGGTGCCTGCTGAGTTTTGGAAAGGAGGAGACACTGCAACTCTCCTATCTGGGAAACAATTTTCAAGTAAGTGTTAAAATGTAGGTTGCTGTCTCTCCTTTGTTTTTAAGTGATGAGCAAATCTTTCCACTGGGAAAGCTGATAGTAGAAATAGTTTTGATATTAGTACCTGGATTCTTGCACACACCTGGACAGGCTCCTGCAAGATTTGCATGGGGTATTTCAGCATGTTCTGTTATTAACATTTCTTCCTGTGGCTCGTGGAAGAGGGAACTCCTTGGTTCTGCAGCACTCAAGTGTAGCACTTGCACAGAGCTAGACAGACTACTTATTAAAGATAAAAGAATATTTTGGCACAAGAACAAAGGGGTATTAATTGGCTATGAATCAATTCTGTCTGGAAAATAAAGGGAATTTTTTTTATCCACCACAGCAACAGAATTCTTGAGTATCTCCTCAGTGGAAAGAAACATGGAGTTTCCTAATTCCCTCACGTGATGTCTGATGCAAAGAAAGAAGGAGTTTGCAAATCTGAAGATCTTTTTGAGGGCAAATAGGTCTTAAGAACCTAAGAAGTTGGTTTCTAGTCCCATATCTGCCATTTCTTATTCCTAAAAACAGCCCTCACAAGGTTGACATTTGCTTTCTCCACTTCACACAGGAGAAGCTGACTCCTGGAGGGATGAAAGAATAAATCCAGTCTCCTCAGCCTCATTAATGAGCACTCATGAGCAGAGCAAGGAATCAGAAAGGCATCTTTCCAAATCAGACAGGTCCTAGTTAGGAAAGAGTAAAGCCCTCTGCCTTCTTGTGCCCCTCCACCAACCCTTCCCTGCCCTCTGAGGGACGGAATCCACGGAAGAGGGGTCCATGGGGATGCAGTGGGGAGTGCTGTCTGCACCCCAAGTGTTTGTTCTCCTCTTCCTTTTCTCTGCTGTTTGCAAAGTAGGGCTGAATTTGCTTTGCTGACAAAGGATCCTTTCCAAACACAAGAGAGGAACGATTCCAGGCCACTTTGCAAATCAGTGGGAACAAAACATAGCTGCCCCTGCACCTTGTGAGGGGTGTAAAGCATGTCTGATTGCTTAGCCATCAGCAGGAGGCAGCTCAGGGTGAGCCCCTCCTGCTGGTTTGCCACTATTAAGATCCAGCAGTACCTTGATGTTTCCTCACTGGCAATAATTTGCAGGATTAAATACTTCAAGCCAGTCTAAAATTAGTTCCAGGAGGCAGTTTTTGCTTTCATTTCAGAGCTCTTGTGAGCCTTTCCTACTTTGCCAGTGTGCTACAGCTAATTACCTGATGGTTAGAGCGCTCTAGATTTCAAATATCTGTCTTTTCCACTGCTCTAAAGACCCAAGTGGGGTTACAGAGCAGACCTTGCACCAGGAGTGTTTGCCAAACACTGTAACGAGCTGAGACAGCTTCGTGAGATGGACAAATAAACCACTGCAGACAAAATTACCTTTGTCCAGTGTCTCCATCCAGGATGTTAATCAAACTTATTTTGAGCTTTGAAAACATCTCAGAAACTCATTGAAAGAAATTTTATGTCTTGAGCCCTCCCCATCTGTCTGATCCACTGGAGAGGCTGCAGAATCACAGCAGACATTTTCAGCCTCCAGTGCTGTGGTTTAAGAGTTTGCAAGGAATATTGTGTATTTTATTTGGAGAACACCTGTAGTTATGGTGCTGCTGTTTGTCCTGTGCAGGTATGTCACTGTCAGAGCCAGAGGTAGAAACACTTTTGGAGAAGTGAGAAATCTTATCACAGCAGCAAAAAAAAGCATAGTTTAAGGAAGATTGTCTGAGAAATCCACTGGCAGTGGTGTTCCCCTCTTGAAGATACAGTTTACTCTCCTTGGTGTTTATGGCCACATTTTTTGGCCCATGCTGCCTATGGCTATGCCATGATCCTTTCTATTTGCTTCCCACCCTTCCCTGGCCCCCTGGAGATGATTCACTCTCTGAATATATAATTGTGTCATGTATAAAGACTCTTACTCTCCTGACCACAGCAGAATTCCAGAGGGATTTGTTTCTCTACTTGTGATTTCACAGACTGATTTTTCACCTGGCGTCATGCCCAAAAGAAAACGTCTTTCTCTCATACTTCTCAGGGTCATCCCTGCTGTTAGCCTCTTTTAAAACCTGCTTGCTCATTGCTTCTGAGGCATCAAGGCAGGCCCAGCTTCACCCATCAATTCCCAGCCTTACTTCTTGGGTTTGGTGTTCATGTTGTTAAACCTGTGGTGATTTGAGACCCATTGCATGAATCCCAATAGCAGCTGCAGATATTTTTACTCTTTGAGCCATCACTGAATAAACTGAGGTTGTTCGTTCACTTACTCTGCATAAAAGATGTCCATCCCCTTCAGGTGGCTGTTTGAGTGGAGCTGTCCACCACAGTAGTTCAGTGTTTCTTTCATCAGCCATTTCTGGGAACCTCCAGCACAACGTCACACCATCTCCAGTCATGATTTGTTAACACAGTGACCTAACACAAAACTTTGCAAATACCAAGGCCTTGCTCCTGCTCCAATAGCAGGACTTAGTTGCTTCAGTGTGATTTTCAGTGTTTACGCTGGGATGTGATGTTTGAAAACCACGTTCTGAGAGTGAGACCCAGCTCCCTTTGAAGTCACCGGGAGTTTCAGCCTCCGCTTCCACAGCACAAGGGTTGGGCTCTTTGTTCTTTTGTCTGGTGCAATTTGTGAATGATTGCAACGATCCAAGTGACAGGCTGGATTTTCTAACTTGTTTCCAAACTGTGCTCCTTCTGAGACCAGATTCCAAAATAAAATGCCAAAGGAGCATGGCTGGAGGAAATCCGCTCAAACTGAGTAAACAGCTCGGGAGGGAAGGCCAGCAGGATTCATTCATGCTCATTCAGCCCAGGCTGCCTGGTTTGATTCCAGTTGGAGCACTCTCTTCATTACAGGCCCCCTGGGGAATGTTAATCTGTACAGTATAAACATTTATAAACATCTACTAAATCATTACACTTCAGCTGCCCCATAAACACTCCTGAATGCTTTCCTTAGGCAGCACTGGTTGGGTAACGTGTGGCTTTTTGGAATGAGTTTACGGGTGTTTGGCACCCGTAGAAATATGGGGAGAGGGCACAGGAGGTTAAATAGCATTGTTTAAGCTCCATGACTTATTTAGGATAAAGACAGAAGCTGTTTGTGATGGATTAAAGCAGGTCTAGCTGGTAGATGCTGAGGAAAAGCCCAGGTTGAAGAGGGGCTAAGAAAGCCTTTCAGCTTTGCACATTGGATTTTAGTGAAGCCATTGCCATGAACATCACAAAATGCACTTCCCACCAGTCCACTTGACATTTCTGGACCCAGGCAATACATCATTATTCTTCTATGACTGCAACACTAACTGCCTCTTGAAGAACTGCCTGATGCAAGGGGAAAATGGAGACATAACTTCAGAAAACTGAGCCAGAACTAACATAACCCACAGAACTGTAATCAGCTGGGCTGCAGGCCCAGGGCTGGCTTGTATGCACTTACAGAACACGTGAGTGTATATGTGTGTATATATATTATTATTATATATATTATATTATTACTATTTTTGCCTATCTCTCTCTCTATATATATAGGCAAAAATAAGTGTTTATGAACCAAAATGAGCATGTATATGTATTTGCATCTGTGAAGTGACAGTCATTAGTTTTGAATGCACACCTAGCAAAGCAAACCTTGAGCCTCATAAAGCTGAACTTCTCAATTCTTGGATGTGCTCTGTCCCCTGTCCTCAAGGTGCTGGCATGACTGAGCATTCCCAGGACTGGGGTCAGAGTGACTCCATGCCCACCTCTAGAAGCTGTGTTGAATACAGAAATACTAAGAAAAAGCAAATAAACAAACCAAACCTAACCACTCTCAAATGTATAAAGGATAATCCCCTCAATTATTAAAAATGTTGTTTGTTTGCAGGGGTTTGGAAAAGTTGGGAACTGATAGAGGTGCCATTAATTACCACAAGGATTGTGTATGAGTAATGTAACATGAGCAAAAGTTAAACATGTTGTATATGAGAGAGATGTGTTTACTGACAGCCTGATGAATAGGTAACAACTTGATTTCTGAAAAGCATCTTAGGGAAAATTATTTAATTGGTTATAATTATATCATATTCTACACTTGAGTGAATATGCTTGTGTGCACAGCTCTGTTTTCCTTGTACATGGCACAGATATGTGGCTGGGTGGAATGTCTCATCTGCAGGAGCTGTTAACAGGAGCCTTCTTTTCTGTCCCCTCTTGTGTTCCCAGCACACAGCCACTGCCTTCAGCTACAGCCACAGCTATTTGGGAAATGAGGGCACAGAAAGCAGGAGATTTTTCCCCAGGTGGACCTAGATGCACAATACATCCCTTTCAGAACCTCAGGGCCATGGGACGGTGGCTGTGACATCTCCAGGGCGTGGTTCAGTCTGCCCTGGCCTGCTTGGACACCATCAAAAGTATCTCACAGGGAAATGGGACAAGGAAACTGCTTTGACCACCTAAGTGTACCAAAACCTCCTAAACCACGAAATCAAACCATACCTGTTGTAGGCTAAAGGTGACTATGCCATATCTGTACTTCCAGCTTGCAAATCTCCCTCTGTGTGTGTATCAATGTCTGTCTATCTGTCTGCCTGTCTCTCTCTCTCTCTCTCTCTATCTTTATATCATCTATATCTATCTTTTCAGTAGTAGAGGGTGATCTTCCCTCAGATTTTCCATGGCATGTAATGAGGTGAGTAATTTAAAATCTTCTCTCTGTGGTCAAGGATTGAGCTCACAGAAAGCACTATACATTATTAGCTGCAATTGGTCCTTTAACATCCCTCTTAAAGGGTCAATAAATGAGACTGCCCAGAGGTAAAGCAGCTGTTATGGTGTGCAGGGTTAGGGTCACAGCTGGGGGCACCGGCAGGGACAGGCTGTCTGTCTGCCTGTGCAGGAGACTTCAGTCTCTAGAGCCAGTGTTCTATTAGTTTTATAGTACCTTAAATTCATGCTGTAATTATGAGAAATAAGCAGAGAGAGGGAGATATCTCAT